ATTATTATTATTAAAACTCCTAACATAAAATGGAGGACAGCTTTCCACAGAATAAACAGTAACTCCCTCGCTGCAAGAGCCATTTATCTACACTGGGGGGCTGCTGTCGACACTATAGAAGAGCTTTGGACCATCATAAAGTCCAACCTCTCAATGCTCACTTCTGAGTTTGCTCCGCTCTTCCGATTCGCAGAAACGGCAAACTTCCGAGATGGCCCAGCAGGATAGCAAGGCACAAGCTCAAAAGCGACGGAGGTAGTACCTCAGGAGCCATAGTCACCAATGGTATCTCCAGTACCTCAGGGAAAGAGATAGGGTGACCAGTGTCCAGACGCCTTGCCGTAGGGCCATTGAAAGGAGACTGGCGTGGAGGAATAAAAAATGCCCCAAGGCATTCTTCAACTGCGTACAAGCTAACTCTAAGTTGCGTACGGTGATAGGCGCTCTTAAGGACGACAGCAACCACCCAGTCCTAGCCAGCCCGGAGAAAGCGGAAATCTTCAGACGTTTCTTCGAAGCGGTCCACTTTAGGGATAACGAGGCACCCGGGGAATAACAAACTCCGAGACCCATTCCAAGTATTACAGATCGCGAAATACTCCCCCAGGNCCTGAATAAGAAGCGACTCGGCAGGGTCAGATGGCATCCACCCAGCCATCCTGAAAACCCTGGCTACAGTTCTTGCCCACCCACTTGCCCGGCTGTTTAACTTATCCCTATGTCACAGCCAACTACCAGCAGACTGGACAATAGCAAAGTTAGCGCCCACCCACAAGGGAGGGTCCAGGGACTCGGTAGGAAACTACATACCAGACAGTTTTCTGCCTATTCCATTCAAGATCATGGAGAGAATCCTCAAGGATTGCATCGCAGAGCACGTAATGAGTCAGGGCTTGATATCTCCCAACCAGCACGGTTTTGTGCAGAAGTCTTGCTTATCAAACTTGCTGGACTTCATGGATGAGATCACCTTACGGATCGACAGACGGGAGCGTGTGGAAGTCGGTTACCTAGATGTTCAAAGGCATTCGACTCAGTCAACCACCGACTACTGATAGAAAAACTAAAGATATTCCGTATGTCTGAACTGGTTGTCAGATGAATAACGGGTACTTATTTGGCCGGTTCTTCTATGTCAGAGTAGAGGGCGAAATGTTCACTCGGGGAGCAGTCTGCAGTGGTGTACCCCAAGGGTCCGTGCTGGGACCTCTACTTTTCCTCATCTACATAGACGACCTGATCTAGAGAATAGTACACCCGTCCTTTTTGTTTGGGGATAATGTTAAAATAATCGGTGACCCCTCTACAACGCTATTCAGGACCACCTGGACGAAGTCGAACAATGGACGGAGGAGTGGCTAATGCCGCTAAATGTTGACAAGTGCAAACATCTTCTCTTAGGGGATCCATTGAAGAGGCGAGGCTGATAAATGGCACGGGGTCCACACCGGTGGAAATCACTAACGACGTCAGGGACCTGGGTATCGCCATGCATGGTTCCTTTCAGCCCACAAGACATTGTCAGCTAGCTCCATCGAAAGTTTCAAGGGGGATTTCCTGCTGAGAAGAACAGCAGTATTGAGGGACCTTGCAATATTACTGCCTGTATTTCATGTTGATTTTTTGAAAAAACCCTTCCAAACCCATGATAATTCAAGGTGACAACTTTGTATGTTGCTTCTTTGTGGACATTTCGCAATCACAAACACCATACATTATTCTTTATCTGTTAATTCGATGCCCGAGACATTTGAATTTTGCGTGGTCGGAGAACGTGAGCGACTGTTTGGCTCTCTCTGGACATCATATTTGACTCGCTTGCTTGAGTGCTTTTGGCCGCATATTTGCTTTATTGTNCATTTTGTAATGATTTCTCTAATTCATTACCGTAGAACATTACGGATGAATCGCGTTTTATTTTGGGATTCGTATCGGTTTCGGTTACGCGTCACTCAAGTGCAAATTGGTTGACATAAACTGGCCTCACCTCCAGGATCTGCCGTTCGAGGATGTTTCGGCCATCGGAGTGGACATATTGATCGGCTGTGATGTACTCGAGACGCATTGGGTTCTGGACCAAAGGGTAGAAGGCCATAGAGATCCGTACGCTGTGCGCACGATGTTTGGTTGGATACTCCGCAGACCGCTCGGTGATGCTCGTAATTATTCAGCCTAGATCAACTACATCCCGTAGCCAGATAATCCCATAGGAGACGACCTGAAGCGGCTTTACAACCAAGATTTCGGGGACATATCAGACGACCGGGTATCTATGTCGGACAAAGACTGAGAAGCCCTGGATATCGTCACCGAAATGACATGACACAACGGTTTGAAGTGCCGTTACTGTGGCGAACGGGATCCAACCGATTGCCAGACAATCGAGAAATATCCTTCCATAGGCTCAACTACCTGAAGGGACGATTAAATAGGAACGCGCAGTTCAAGGAGGCCTAATGTAATCCCGTGAAACTCAATCTAGGTTTGGGATATATCTAAGGCGCAATGGGAGAAGCCGAAAAGGAGCAACCATTGTGATACCTGCTGCACCACCGTGTCATAAACTCCAAGGAACCTCAGAAGATCAGGGTTGACTTCGATTGTGCTGCCAAGTGTGCCGGGATTTCCCTAAATGACCGTCTAGTACAAGGCCCAGATCTGACGACTCCGCTGATTGAGGTGCTTGTCGATTTCGTCTAGGGTCAGTTGCGTTAGCGGCTGATATCGAGGAGATGTTCATGCAGGTTAAGGGCCCTGAAGGACAAAGGGGCACTCTACGGTTGTGGTGGTGGCCGGATGGAGACCTAGACGGAACTACCCAGGAATATGGGATGACGTTACACCCGTGTGGTGTAACGACCAAAACGCGATTGTCCTGGTCCGAGCGAAACGAAAAGGACCTCGTCTGTACGCGTTCAATCAAATGACCCTTCGCTCGTTCTGGATGGCGATAAACAAATCTCAAAGAAACGCGTAGCCCAAATTATTGAGATCCAAGTCGACCCAAAGATAATTTACGGTACTATTTTTGCATTAATGACAAATACATAAGGCAGTAATACCCCTGATAGTGAGCCTGATTCATTATCCAATCAAAATGTTACAAATATTCACAGAAAGTATCTGCGGTAATAAAAAAGTAAATAACAAAATGAGTGATTTGAATTACCTTTCAGATAATTCTGGACCGATAAGAAAATTCTGCACTCTTCAACAGATCAAGCGAAATAATTTTGAGCGTTACAGTCAAAAGGGGTTCAATATAACCAAAAGCAACGGTTTGTTTAACAAGGAGCGTCGATTCGAAACTTTGGTCGCAATAAAACAAGAAAAAGCACTGCATCCCATTTACGTGTAAGAGCAAAGCAATTGAAGTGTGTCCAATAGATATGCTTCACCGTAAAATAAGGTAAAATAGAGGGTTCAGAAGAGAAAATTCACCGACATGAAAACCACTGTCGGAAAGAATGCACGATAGAATGGCGAAGAAAGATAAGAAAATGAAAGGTACTTGAGAGGAATTTTCGGTCTTTTTGACTGTTACATTTGGTGCGATATCCTCTCCGTTTTGTGCAAACGGCACGTAAAAACTGCCGTGAACAATTTTGCTCAGCATTTCGAAACCCCGGTGGGCTCCTGTGTTGAACATCATTTTTATGTGGACGACTTCCCGGGATCTAACAGTTTTCCTGCAGTCGAATGCATCCCAGTTGATGAGCAGTCACCGAGTCTCTGTGACTTACAGGAGGGTCCGTTACCAACAGACGGGGACACTTGGTGTGCAATGTTAGTGCATGCTCTCATTTCCGTCAACACCCCTTTCAGCTCGTGGACCGAACTGCAGAAAAGAAGACAAATCCGGAACAAGGAATATTGGTTGCAAGCCTCAAACCCGAGTACTACTTCAAGACTCAATGGGATTCGGAGAAAGATGCGTTTTTGTTCCAACTCTATCTATCCGAAAAGATGGTGACACATAGAGGGATTCTGTCTTCGTTGGCCAGCCTTTACGATGCATTGGGGTTCTTCGCATCGTGGCTACTGCCGGGCAAGATTCTGTTGCAAGACGTGTGCAGAAAAAAAGATGACTTGTGTTGAGACCCTATGCGAAGCTGATCACAAGACCTGGCAAAGCTGGTGACTGAGCCTGTCCAAGCTGGGCGGCATACGACCCGCTCGTCCCATAGCAGGAATACGCAAAGGTGAGAAAGGTGATTTACGCGTTTTTTCCGAATGCACCTACACTTACAAGGTGTTTTAAGGTTGGGTGGGTAGCGTGTAGTCAGTCTCACATCAAAGCGACCAACACCTACATAACGTAAATAACGTAAATCCATTACTAATCGGAGCCCCTGAGACCATTGATCAAGACCCTACATCTTTTTCACTACGTGCAGTGCATATATGACATTTTCACTCTGTTCTGTTTCATCCTATCCGCTCTTGTGTCGATTTCCGTCTGTTCCCGTCCAACGATTTACAGGCCGCCTCTTGTTACTTTACTCACTCACTGCGGTCTTTCCAGTCGTCTCATCATTCATCCGGTATAACGATTCTTGTTTTTCTTCCTACTTCCACCGACTTACTCTTTTAGAGCATTCCGCCATCCCGAACCTTTTTCTCTGATACCTTGTCCACTTTGTGTTCCATTTGTAATTATGTTCACTAAGACCTTCAATTTCTTCCTTTTGGGCTTCTCCTATACGGATGATTATGTTGTACATTTGATTATGCCTATGCATGATTTACGGGGCTCTGTGAAATATACACTTCCTATTACTATCATTATTATTAACTGATGGCCTCATTACCAAGCTTCTGAGTACGATCAGGTTAGTAGCCCTTCGCCGAAACTGGGGTGGACTACTTCGGGACACTTTAGGTGAGACGAAAGACGTCTATGGAGAAACGGTACGGATGCCTGATGAGCTGCCTACAGTCACGAGCTTTGCATATAGAGACCGTACACAGCATGTCGACCGACTCATTTTATGGCCTGACAGAGGTTCGTGTGTAGACGACTCAACCCATCGATGTGTTTTCCGGCAATGGGTCCAATTTCGTCGATGCACAAAAGGAGTTGAGCAAATGGTTGGAAAAATGCGCCCAACAAGACCGACTGTCACTATCTGGAACCCAATGGCACTTCAACCCACCCTACAGCAATCACCGCGGAGGAGTTTGGGTACGGCTTATACGGTCGGTACGGAGAGTATTGACAGCATTATGTGAACAACAGGCGCCGGATGATGAACCTTTGAGTAAATTTCTTGTAGAGGCCGAAAGGGTACTCAACAACCGACCGCTTGTATCCGTCACCAGCGGTGACGTGCAAGGACTGGTGCTAACTCCGAGTGACCTTCTGCTATTGAGATCCAATGATGGTCTAGATATGCCAAAAACTATCAATGGCTGCTATACCTCGGGTTGAAAACGTGCAAACTACCTAGCAGGGGTGCTTTGGAAGCGTTGGAGAAGAGAGTACCCGCCAACCCTTCAAGCTCGACAGAAGTGGTTGCATAGAGAACGGTCGCTGAAGGTTGAAGATGTTGTCCTTATGGTCGATGAAAAGCTACAGCGCGACAACTGGCCACTGGGTGTAGTCATTGAAAGCCACACGAATCCAGACAGACTAATAAGAACAGTGAAATTGAATACGTCTACGGGTGAACAGGTGAACGACATTCAACGAGTGTTTATTGGAGAGAGATGACCACCATGCCTTTACATGATGAAGTTGCGGAGACCCACCGTGCAATATATAGACTTACATGCCCCCTTGTACCAATTGCGCCCCAGTGATATTCACTGAACGAACCAGTGCTTCCACGTCCTCAATAAACGTCCTCTCTATTCCATCATTTCGTGACACCTTCCGATCACACTTCCAGAAAATATTTAACTCCCCTCCGGTGCTCAATCACCCCATTCTGCAGCCTCGGGATACAAATTCCTCCCTAGGATCCATCCTTTTCTCACAGGATAAGGTTGAAAGGAGTCTCCGGAGCATTAATCCATATTGCTCCATGGGTCCTGATAATATCCACCCTAGGTTACTGGTAGAGTCAGCCGGTGTACTAGCTGCCCCGTACACCCTTCTCTTCCAACGCAGTATGGACGAGGGACTCTTTCCCACAAGTTGGAAAGAAGCCGTTATTTGTCCCATATTCAAAAAGGGCGGTAGGCATTTCCCTGTTAGTTACCGTCCAATCTCCCTAACCAGCATCCCCAGTAAAATTTTCGAGCGTCTAATAAAAGACGAAATCCTGAAACATCTTAGGACAATAACCTCCTCTCTCGTTTCCAGCACGGTTTTCTACCTGGCAGGTCATGCATCACCAATATGCTGACTGTCATGGATAGCCTGACTAAAGCATACGATTCCGGCAACATCTCTCATGCCGTTTTCATCGACTTCGCGAGGGCTTTTGACAAGGTGACACACATCTCTCTTTTCCACAAACTTGCGGCACTTGGCATTGTAGACCTCTTGCCTACTCTTATTCGAAGCTTCCTCTCAAATCGCTCGTTTGCTGTTCGGGTTGGCAAATCTTCATCCCAGCCCAGCCCAATTACGACCGGTGTTCCCCAAGGTTCTGTTCTAGGACCCATTCTCTTCCTCATTTATATAAATGACCTACCCGATGTAGTGTCATCAAGGATTGCGCTGTACGCCGATGATGTCACCATCTGGGATACAGACGCCTCTCTTTTACAGGCTTCAATTGATGCCACCAAACGCTGGTCACTGGATTGGAATCTTCCAATCAACAATGACAAGTGTGTTGGGATGTCGTTCAATGGTCACCCTTCTCACCCTTTTACGATAGAAGGTACCCACCTACTACCCCAAGTGGACCAATACAAAGTTCTTGGTTTCTGGTTAAACAACAATCTGTCTTTCTCTTATCATAACCATTTAGCCAGTAAGGCCGCTTTTCGAGTCCTTAACCTCATCAAAAGATGTTTCCCCCGTATTCTTAAGGACGACTTTCCCCTTATTTACGGAACGTACATCCGCCCTCTCTTAGAATATGGAAGCCAAGTTGCACACTCCGGCCTCATCCGAGATCGTGACTGTCTTGAGCGCGTCCAGAGAGCCGCTACAAAATCCGTCCATGGACTCAGGGACCTCCCCTACCCAACGCGGCTCCAACAACTGGGCCTTTATCCGCTAGAAATCGGACGCATCCGAGGAGACC